TATATACTTTATAGGTCGGAAAGGGAAAAACAACTATCTATGATCTATCACTTTTTGCAGAGCAAAATCCCGAGGCTCGGCCAAATTTTGTGTGTTTCAATAATAACACTGTGATAGATCAACTATGATATAGTACCTAGTACATCTTGTGCGCCTTGAAAACCTGAGTAAAAATGCATTTCTAAGAAATGTGCAAATATCAACACAAATTTGTCGTTTCTCATCAAAACAGCTATTATTAGTATTATTCGTTGCTATGATCCCCTTTCATCGGTATCGTTGTTGGCCAGTACGTACATGAAAAATTTCGTGACAACTGGTCCACAACTATGGCCTGATTAATTGTTATAATGGACAGGCGGATATGTAGATGGAAACAGCTAGTCGAGATATGATATAGATGATATAGAGTATTGATGGGTCTGAAACCAATTTTTTGTGGGGCTTTACAAACTTTTGAGACCACGCAAACCACCTAGTTGTGTAGGGATTCACAAATTATGTTAACCTTTATAATTATTTTATGTCATCTAACAGACCACTTTATGTAAAAAGATATATCGCAGACTTTTGTTATCAAGTACAAAACAAATTTTTAATTTTTTAAGATTTTTTATAAGTTTAAATTAATAAAAGATTAACACGATTGAAAATGAAAATCGAAAAAAATAAAATAATAAAAAATGGCAGTCATATTGTACATCACTGTATTTTTACATTACACATGTAAATGTTCAGATGTTTGTTTGTAAGCTGTACATCTGGGTTTTTGTTTTTTGTTGCAATTCAACTCACTAACAGTGAGAGAGTTAGCATATAAATGAATGTGATGTGTATATAAGTGTTAGTAGTTGTAGTGTGAGTATAAATGTTAACTTGTCTTTCACCATCATGAATAATGTTTTAATTAACAATCAAGCTAAACCTAAAAAACATATATAAAGAAAGGAAAACTTTAAAAGACTAACACACACATAAACATAACAACCACACACGTATATATAGATATACTCTGACTATACATAAATAAACTATACTGAACACACACACAGATGCACTCACACCAAATATATACACATATAGATAAAGAAGAACTAAATATTCATGCATTGAGCGACATGGCTTTTTGTTTTTTTTTTTTTGTTGGCTTGGGGTTGTTAGACATGCGGTGAAGTACCATCAACAGCATCGGATGCACATTTCTAAATGTACAATGGGTAATACACATACACGTACACGCACGCACACAGACACAAAGCTGCAAAACATAACGAATTTCACACAAGTGTGTGTGTGTTTTCGGAGTGTGTATGCGTGTGTTGGTGTGTGTCTACGCGACAGTGAGAAGTAGAAGTTGCCAAATGAATGCATGAATACATTTTAACGCAATTTGCCACAAAGAAAGATAGAACACAAAAAAAAAAATGAACCGCATCAACAATGAATGATGCCATGAAACAAATGCCGAACTAACTAAAAACGTTTATGCAAATACATTTATATGTATATGTATGTATGCATGCATGCATATATACATATGTGGGAGAGTAGTCAATTATTTAGACATAAAATTTCTGTTTTAATTTTAATGATAAGAAAGGCTGTAGTTCCACTGAAATAATTTTTGTCTGCAAATATTGTTGGTAATCCATTATCAGTGCACTGTATAGAAGACAAAATCAGATAAATTGAAATGGGGTATAATATCGAAACTTATACCAGCATTTTATTCAAACAACAACAAAAAATTGATCTTATCTCAGAATATGTTTTTATATCCTTAATTGTATAGTAGCGCCAAGGACTTCAGATTGCATTGAATTTTTAGATTCACATGCTGTGGCACAATTTGGGTATTTTTTTATTTTTGGCCAACAATACACATTTACTTCATTTTCCTTCCAATAATACTTATAGGGTATTTTAAACACTCCTTTTTAACCATCTAGTTGAATTTTCAATAGAAGATCTGGTCTGCTATGACGGATGTTTTTTTAAGGCTAGTCGAAGTGTCCTTGACCATCGAAGAGTGCAACCAATTTTAACCATACTTTGAACACCAACATTTTGAAAACTTGTAAATTATATGAAAAACATTCTGAATTTGACGAAGACTCTGTACTTCGCAGTTATTTGTAAAAATTAAATAAAGTCCGCATATGAAGTATTTCGTTCCACTATTAATAAGCGAAATATCGTTCCACTTTAAATATAGAGAGAAATATGTATCTGATTTGATTCAAATAATTTTACCAAATCTTGGAGAGATTCGAAAACTACGAACGGGTAAAAACGTTATACCAGAGGAAGATGGTATATATCTTATACATCTTAGGATGCATTTTGGTTCGTCGTCTTTGTGTCAAAATTCATAAATTTCGACCAAACACAGAATGGTCATTGATATTGCTGAGGAGATGATGCACTCTACACTTAATTACCAATATCTGTTGTATATGACGCAGGGATCTAGGATCAAGAATCTATATGGAAGCTGGAACATGGACGGAATCGAAAAATGACACAATCTTAATGTGAAGATCCCTTTCAGTACTCAAATATGAGTTCCTGTGTACTTCTATACTCTACACAAGACAGCGTAATGTATATTCAAAATCTCCAGCCACATTTAAGTAAGGCCAAATCTTCATCATGTCTTGTATAAATTTGACATTCAGTTCAACAAAACCTATGACACCCTAAAACAAAAATCTCAAATGAGGCGGCCCCTATATATGAGGGATATGCGAATCATTAGACGTTTCGCTATTTAGAAGCCCGAGAAGCCATATTGCTGGCACAGGTTGGAAAATATACAATGGAGTTTTAAAACACGAAAAAAAGTCGAAAATGGAGATAAAAATACCTAAATATTGGGTCAATATTAATATTTTTGGTACTAATGAGAACTCAAAATACTAAATTACAGCCAATTCTGTTGGAAAATTTGTTCAAAATATCGAATGTTGGGGTTAACATTATATGTAAGCCACATCAAAAAGCTGACCGATGTATGCCATTTACAATACCAAACATCCTACGAGTACTAGTAATGTCTGTTCAAAACTTCAGAGCTCGATCTTAAATATTGCTTTGTCGTAATTTCAACAGACAGCTGACAACGGACAAGCGTAAATCGATTACAATTTAATTCTAATCAAGAATATATATAATTTTTGGGGTATCCGCGAAATATTTTCATTACATGGACCCATATAAAAAACAGAGACCTATATTGAAAACATTCTGCGCGGACCCCCCGTAACCGCCAAGAACTCAAAATGACAGCTACTTCGGATGCAAAGTGCCTTTGGAATCTTCATAGCACAGTAAATAGGGCGTTACCTATATAGCCGGATTTTTAAAAACCTTTATCGCTACGACCCCATCATGATTTCCACTGATATGGTGTGCTAGAAACAGTGTATTATTCTCGAAGAGGATTATGTATAAAAACCATAAATGATGCGGTATCGCCATAGCTGGATACCTCTGTTTTCAATACCTAGGATATTGTGAGTCCAATTGAAATTTCAACCGGCAGACGTATATAGATTTTTCTCTCGATGTCGACCATAACTATGGAAGAGGGTAAACAAATGTTTTCGAAATGTTAAAGGAGAGCTATATTCAGTGTATTATCATCTTCGAAAAGGAATAGAAAACTTCATTTAATTTGTTTCATGCAACCATTCAACTGAAGAACGATTAGAGAAGAAGAATTTGTGCGATCATTATCATACGGAGAAATTCCTAAATCCTAAAAATCTACTCTGAAAAGGAATGTTCTGGTGTGAAGCCAAATGTCCGAACCTTGACACGGTTGAATTTAATTCATAGATGCAATTTCGCAACAATATTCGACATAAATACAACTTATCAAGTAACGATATTTGTAAGCCACATTTCCCAATATGCCTGATGAACAGCTTAACCAACGGCGAAACGCGTCGCATAATGGTGGGAATGTGTAGTTTCTCTCTGGCTTTCCTTTTCTTTGTTACTTCGATCATGTAGCTCATGTCGAAAGATAAATTAATAAAAACATTTAAATGAAATTTACGTTTATTACGTAAGTTAGACGGACACACACATATGTATTGGAAGTCCAATATTTAAAGGTGTTACAAAATCTGGTGCTCACACACATATTATTACCTTCCCAACATAAATTTTAAGTGGTTTTTGGAGGTTGTTGACACATTTGTTGATGAAACTTGGAATTGATACATAGACAGTAGGTTTTATTTTTTTATTATATTTATAATAATTATTTATACACATAAATATTTCTTTGTGGCAAATTTTGTTAAAATGTATTGTTAGTATAGATTATTATAATTTACTTTTTGTATAAATTCTATAGGCTAAGCTGTTTGGCTGTTATTGATTGCAATTTTTTTTATTTTTTCATTTGTATTCATTTAATTTTATTTTGTAGATGATGAATGTAGCGGGGGAGTAGGAGCGGGGAGTTATGTTCTGTTTATCGCTAAATTATAAACATAAATAAACATATCACCACATAATCCTATGATTATGGAGCAACCAAAAAATACGGCGACGACATCGACGATTACGACGGTCATTAACACTCTTCTACGTATATACATAAATATATATGTATATAATATGTATATATAAATGCATGTACACACTCATACATTATTTTTTTGCGAAATTGTAAATTGGCATAAATTTTGCTTCTTATTTTTGCTTTTGTATGTACGTATGTAGTCGGTACATGTATGCCAGTTGTTGTTACTGATATTATTATTTGTTGTTGTTAGTAATATCTACTATACGAGCGAGCATTTTTTGGGTTTTTTTGTTTAGATATTTATGTATATATGCATATATATAGATATATATTTATTTGTTGTTGGGGTTATTTTGTTTTTTTTTTTGGTTCATTCTATTATTGTTTATCGAAACTAGGGTACTTGGTATTAGGCATAAAACAAAAACATCTGAAAGAAAGAAATGTAATTAGCACTCACTCTCACCTGCACTTCCAAAGCATGATAAGCTATAATAAGACCTAAAAGAATCACAGTCGAAACCGATATTAATGTTTTAAGCGCCGTTGAATAAAAGGATGCCTGTATTGGGAAGAGAGAAAAGAAAGAAATGTATATATGTTAGTAATGTATGTACATATATATATATATAAAAGAAGAAGGAAAGGAAATATTTTGCCAAATGTTACATTAGAATTAGAAAATAATATAATTATACACGTGTTTTCGCTTTCATGTTTCCTAACTGTGTCTATCAATCTTTATTTTATTCTCATTTTGTGTTATAAACGAATAAAATTAATGAAAGTTCAACCTTTTGATTAAAAAAAAAATAATAAGGTTTGGATGGCGGAAACCTACACGTGTGAGCTTTTATTTTTGTAATCCAAGTTCGTACACCTGTGATAAGTTTGAGAAATACATTTTGTAGCATTCGTAAATATAAAATAAAGAACATGAAAAGCAATCGAGTCAAAATACCTGTGTTAGTGGCCAATAAAACACAGTGGCAAAAGATCTGAACTCCCATCATGTCTAAACACGGGGATCAAACTTTTTAACCTCTATACCCCCACACAAAACTCCACAACAGATACGATACTAAGGGTGAAAATATATTATCTGATATTTGACATTATAATTTTCGATACAAAAAATTCCAGGGAGAAAAGTGTCACATTCATGATTAAGAAGTACTGTAGTTATTGGGAAATAGCAGGTCCCTGGCGAAGACGCCCTAACACAAAATTAAGACATTAATATTTTTTTATATTATTACAATAAAATCCTGTTCCCAAGTCATAAACGGAAAAGAAAGGATGCAAAAAAAAGAACAGTAAGGAAAGTAGTAAAGTAGGACGGGCCGACTATATGACACCCTTCACCACTATGGGTATATTAAACAGGACTATTAACATGAAATTGGATGACATAAAATATGTGATATTTATCTAATGTGAATCTACCTAGATCTATCCATAAAGTATGTAAATCGACTTCAAACAAATATAAATAGGCCATCCGTTGGGCTATGTCTGTACTTCTAGAAAACGCAATACGTAATTCTATGCTCAATTTTGTACGTTGTGCAAAATTTGATGTCAATCTGACTAACATGAGGACTTTGATGCCCAATTTACTTGAAATCGGGCGAAAATATATATGGAAGCTCTATCCAAATATGAAGCGATTTCAACGAAACTTGTCACATGTTAGGTTATACTAATTTCAGAACGTTTTGTTCCTATTGGTTCCTTGGTGCGTCAATTACTTAAAATCAATCTATAATAAAAGGGAGCTATATCTAAATCTCGACCGATTTTCACGAAACAAGGCAGACATCACACTAGGCTCAATTCAGTACGTTATGCCAAATTTCGTGCAAATCGAAAGATATATAGCGACTTTGGTGCACCATTTACATGAAATCGGACGTGAGCTATATAGAAATCTGGACCGATTTTCTCGAAACTTGCCAGACATCACTCTAGGCTCAATTCAGTACGTTATGCTAAATTTCGTGCAAATCGAAGGATATATAGGGACTTTGGTGCACCATTTACATGAAATCGGACGAAACTATATATGGGAGCTATATCTAAATCTGGACCGATTTTCACGAAATTTGGCAGACAACATTCTAGGCGCAATTCAGTAAGTTATGCCAAATTTCGTGCAGATCAAAAGATATATAGGGACTTTGGGGCACCATTTACATGAAATCGGACGAAACTATATATCGGAGCTATATCTAAATCTGGACCGATTTTCTCGAAACTTGGCAGACATCACTCTAGGCTTAATTCACTACGTTATGCCAAATTTCGTGCAAATCAAAAGATATTTAGGGACTTTGGGGCACCATTTACATGAAATCGGACGAAACTATATATGGCAGCTATATAGAAATCTGGACCTATTTTCTCGAAACTGGGCAGACATCATTCTAGGCCCAATTCAGTACGTTATGCCAAATTTCGTGCAAATCAAAAGATATATAGGGACTTTGGGGCACCATTTACATGAAATCGGCCGAAAATATATATGGGAGCTATACCTAAATCTGGGCCGATTTTTACGAAACTTGGCAGACATCATTGTAGACCTAAATGATTAGACTGTACCAAATATCGTGCAAATCGAAAGATATATAGGGACCGTTTACATTAATATGGGAGCTATATCTAAATCTGAACCGATTTTTCCCAATTTTAATAGGGTTCGTCCTTGGGCCGAATAAGTGACCTATGCCAAATTTCATACAATTCGGATCATAAATGCGACCTGTACTTTGTTTACAATTTAACATGGACAGACAGACAGACGGACGGACATGCATAAATCGACTTAGAAAGTGATTCTATGCATATTCTCAAAAGGAACCATGTGTCTATCTCGTTTCCTTTTGCCTGTTACAAACATATGCACAAAGACATAATACCCTGTACCACAGTGTGGTGAAGGGTATAAAAATTCAAAGCACTAATCTGTATAGATATCGTTTGAAAAATGAAGCTGGAACTTTCTAAAAGTGTACATGACCTTCTTATGTGACATATGAATGTCCCCAACATGACCCGAAATACCTACTCATATACATATCGCTGGGAACTTCCTAATATTGGAATAGCTACCTTAACATGTAAAACTGATGTTTAGTTCGGATCGGCCGAACTTTTTGTACCCTCCCCGACGATGATGACAAACAAAATATCTAAAATTAATTGGGTCTCAAAGGTATGGTACCATATTATGGTTGGCTACCCTTAAACATAGGTCAACATTAAAAAAATAGTACGGAAATGTGCTATACAATGAGAACCCAAAATACTAAATTACAGCCAAGTTGGTAGGTACGGATATGTGTTATTCAATGAGAACCCAAAATAAAATTTAACAGCCAATTCGGTTGGAAAACGTGTCTAAAATTCCTAGATTGATGATTACCGTTATATGGGGGCTACCCTGAAACTTGGGTCAATATTAATAATTTTTGGTACAAGGATGTGCTACACAATGAGAACCCAAAATACAAAATTACAGCCAATTCGGTTGGAAAAAATGACCAAAATCCACCAAATACTGAATATTGGGGAGTACCGTTAAATGGGGGCTACCCTGAAACTTGGGCCAATGTTAATAATTTTTTGTACGGATATGTGTTATTCAATTTGAACCCAAAAGACCAAATAATAGCCAATTCAGTTGGAAAACGTGTCCAAAATAACCAAAATAGGAGATATCGTTATATGAGGGCTACACCAAAACATGGACCGATATATCACATTTGAAATACCCAACATCCTAGGATTACTAGCAATGTCTGTGCAAAATTCTAGAGCTCTAACTTAAATATCTATCGTGATTCCAACAGACGGACAGACAGACGAAAATACGTATATCGACATAGAACATAATCTCCACCTTATGGAAGAATGTATAAAAAGGGGGGTCTTTTATATGAAACGATAATCCTAAAAATAACAAAAAAATTTATTTTACCTTTGTATGACCTATGTGTACGGATATGTGCCAACTTTGTTTTAAGGGGACCCCCCATTCTCGGGGTCAATTTTTTTTTTGATTTAATTCGATTCTACACTAATTCAAGAATGTCTCTACAAACTTTCAAGTGAAAATCTCAAGAACTCTTGAAGATATAGCCGATTTATTGTGTCAGCATCAAGTGACGGCTAAAGGGTTTCTCAAACTTTAAACGCGTTTTTCTCTTTTGCGAATGGCGGGCACGATAACTCAAAAACTAATAACCCAATCGATTCCAAATTTTTACACGTTTCTCTGTGAGTGTATAGCTATCGTATGAACTAGGATAAAGCCAATCGGTGAAGATCTTCCTTATTTTTAACTTGGTTTTTGGTCAAAAATTGGCGATTTTCCAAAAAATATGTTTTCAAAGGTCCGCCATTTTTTTATGTTTAGAGCGAAGTCAATAATCCTAGTTCGTACGAGAGCCAGATATGTACTCTTTCTAACACCGTTGGAATTTTCGGATTCCGATGTTCCAGTGAGGAGTTATCATGCCCGCCATCAAAAATAAGGACTTTTCTTTAATTACAAAAAACAACAACAAAGCAATAACAAACATTTTTTGTAAATTATTTTTCTTCTCTTTTAAATCTTCAAATATATATGTGCAAAGTTACAAACCTTAACAAGCATTGGTATTGATTTACCAGCCCATTGAAAATCTTGAAAAATTTGAGTATTAAAATGACCTACAATATTTCCTCATTTTTGAGAACCCGTCTATTAGTCATGTTACAACTTGTATGCTCTGTGTTAATTCGCTTTGGTCGTAATACATTTTTTTTCTGTTTTATAACATTTGCCCTAAATATTTGATTTGATTGCAAACAAAATCGTTGGCAGACCTAGTCTAGAAATTCCTTCGCATTCAGAATATTTCCATGTCTCTAACCCCTACCCTTTTTCTAATTTTATTGACGAGAATTTAATGAAATTAAACTTTCCTAACAATTTAATTTTATTACTTTGAACTTTTTCCATTAAATCTAAACATATTTTATTTTCTCTTCGAAAGTGAATTTACTCCTTCTTTTGGGGGGTTATATATAAAAAAAATTCAACACTTACCTTTGTGTAAACACCAGCGCTGCTTAATTCATTCTCGATAACCATCACAACAATTCCAAACATGCCCATGACTAGAGCGTAATCACTGATACGTTTTCGCTTTTCAAATAAAGCTTTACGTTTCCCAAGCCGATAACCGACATTGGGTTTGTGTTTAGCGGAGTTTGTTGAGGGCTTCCGGGATGTATTACCGCCAGTTAAAGCACGTTCCTCCATATACCTAATAAAAACAAATCGGCGTCGTCGTCATCGTTGTTCAGTCAATCGTATGAAAGCACATTTCCGTTTCCACATTAATGGCATTCCAGGCGGCGCACACAGATACACGCATATACGCCATTTGTAATCGCGAAGAGATGGTTGAAGGAAAAAAAGGTGGAAAAAAGGAGAGAGAGAAAAAAGAACACATTTCATGTAATAAAATTTTAATTGTCTTAATATTGCCTACATCCGCTAAATCGTATTAATGTGTAGCGTAGTGCAGCAGCAGCAGTTGTCAGTTTTTTGTGGCATTTTCTTAGTTGTCGTTTTTTCTTTAATTATTTTACCTGATGTTATCTGAATTAAACTCTCTTTTTGCTTAGGTTTTAATTTTTTGAAATGTAGTTTTTAATTAAAATTGTATTTTAGAAATTTACAAAATAAACGAATTTCCAGTTCAATGGCTAATAATCACATATATTTGTTGGATAATGAAATGGGAATGTCATACTGGATTCTGAATCAAATGTTATCTCCTTAACTATTAATAAAGTGAAATATAAGTCGAAACTTATTCATGTGTATATATCCACAGAGGATCTGCAATGCGGATTAGTAATTCCATAAATTGAGGGATTATACACCGGCAGGAAATTAAGAAATTTTGAGAAATTTTAAGTTCTTCATAAATTTGTTGATATCTTTCGAAGTTGCTGTTAATAGTTTCCACGTAATTGGATTAAAATTTAATATGGCTAATTCACATTAAGTAGTGGAGCTTGTTATACCTCCCAAAACGCCATACCCTTTTTTTATACGTGCAAAAAAATTAAAATTTTTCGATTTTTGAATTAATCGCATCCTCCTCCCCATGACGAACCCCACCCATGTTAGATTTTTGATGGTCCTAGCCTAAAATTTAACTGACGAAACACTTTTTAAGTTATTCCGGGTTTCAAAGGTTGAAAGTCTACAATGAGCCTCTTTCAAAAACTCAACATAACATTTTGAAAGGAAGTACCTGAAGAACATTGATATATTGGTCAATGGAAATTCCATACACCAAGCGATGTGGTGGTACTTTCGTATAAACGACCCATTGCAGAACAAAGTCAGCTGAAAATTGTCTATTTAAGAAAGAAGTTCCGACAAGATTCAAATATATTTTTTAACATTATTGGTCTAAGAGAATAATAACACTTTTAACTGGAAACAGGTAACAACGACGCCAAGTTCGGCCCGGCCGAGATTTTTATATCCTACATCATGAGGAGGGCATAAAATTAATGGCGGGCTCCTAGGAACAAACTCATTTATGACCTTGATATGTCATACCGAAAATACGTGAACAATTATTGAAATTCTCAAAATATGTGATAACCGTTATATTTGGGCTGTAATAACATGGACATCAATATTTATATTTTTTATACTCTTCACCACACTGTGGTACAGGGTATTATGTCTTTGTGCATATGTTTGTAACAGGCCAAAATAATCGAGATAGAACCATGGTTCCTTTTGAGAATATGCATAGAATCACTTTCTGAGTCGATTTATACATGTCCGTCCGTTCGTCCGTCAGTCTGTCTGTCCATGTTAAATTGTAAACAAAGTACAGGTCGCATTTATGATCCGAATTGGATGAAATGTGGCACAGCGCATTGGTTTGCCCCAAGGACGAACCCTATTGAAATTGGGAAAAGTCGTTCAGATTTAGATATAGTTCCCATATATATCTTCGTCCGATTTAAGGTAATTGGTGCACCAAAGACCATATATATCTTTCGATTTGCACGAAATTTGGCACACGATAATGAATAAGGTCTAGAATGATGTGTGCAAAGTTCCGTGAAAATCGATTCAGATTTCGATGTAGCTCCCATATATAGCATCGCCCGATTTCAGGTAAATAGTCCACTAAAGTCCCTGGATATCTTTTGATTTGCACGAAATTTGGCATAGAGTAATGAATAAAGCCGAAAATGATGTGTGCCAAGTTTCGTGAGAATCGGTTGAGATTTAGATATAGCTCCCATATATATCTTCGTCCGATTTAAGGTAATTGGTGCCCCAAAGACCATATATATCTTCCGATTTGCACGCATTTTGGTATAGGGTAATGAATTAAGTTTAGAATAATGTTGCTAAGCATCGTGAAAAGATCCATAGATAGGCCGATTGACACAATGTACTGATGTAATATAAATTAGTCTCTGGCAAGTTTCCCTGAAATCGGTTCAGATATATATATATATATAACAAAAACGCGTCGTCTGTTAGGATACATATGTAGAATATACCCAAAGTGGTGAAGGGTATCATATAGTGGGCCCTGTCCGACATTGGTGAAGGGTATCATATAGTCGGCCCTGTCCGACTTTACTACTTTCCTTACTGGTTGTTGGTGAGATTTGACAGCCAATGAGAATAAAAAATTGAAAAAGGTGTCCAAAATTCTCAAAAGTGCATAGATGTGTTGATACAATTATGAGAAACCAAAATAGCAAATTACAGCCTATTTGATTGAAATTTGGAGTAGGAACATGTGTTGTGTTGACTAAAAATGCGCTCATAATCCCCACTATACCGAATAATAAAGGTTGCCGTTATATTGTTCTATCCTAAAAAGTTGACCAGCGTTGATAACTTTTCGTAGGAAGATTTTCTATCCAATGAGAATTTGAAATACTAAATTATAGCCAATTTTGGACCCCAAATTTTAAAAAAATGCTATGAGGGGATAATCCAAATATAACACAAAGTATGAAATTATAGCCAATTGGGTTAAAAACGTGGCAAAAAACCATAAAATTCCGAATAAATGGGATTACCATTTATGAGGGTTATCCATAAAAGTGTACTCATTTTTGATAAAAAGTCAGATCTCCAAATTCTTCAGATCTCCGAATTCTTCATTACAGCCAAGACGGTTGAAAATTGCCAAAATTGCATACCAAAATGGTGGACTGACGATTGACGATTTCTCAAAAACGAAGATCATCCGAAAAGGTAATTGTGCCACAAAATATTGAAGTTCCTTGGATTTTTCGTTCATCATCATATATTTAATGAACACCTGAAACGCACAAGAGAACACGAAGCGTGGGGCTTAAACTAGCAACCTTATCAATGACTTCTTTTTATTCTCGCTCTTCAAAGAATTAACACTTACTCAAGGATTTTTGTCCGCTTCGTGCTTTCGCATTCATCGACGGACTAAAATATTTGTCGAGCCTGTAGATACATCAATTAAGGTGTATCTCAAGTCGTCTTAGGGTAATGACATCGTCAAAATCGACAAGGAAGCTGAAAATGTATTAGGCTACTAAATTCACTGCGAATTTATATTAATCCAGTGAGCGGAGTAGCATTGTCGGACGAGGCGGATCATACGACGCCATAAACAACTTCCACTGTACTTTCATTTCTGCAGAGATGTATTCTGATAATATTAAACCAAATAAGAGTACTACTAGAATTTGTATTTGCATCGTCCCTATCTGTCGGTCCATTTTATCCCCTAATAATAATAAGATCACCACCTATAAATATTATATTATAGTGATTAGTGCAATATTAACGCCCTCTAGTGTGTAAATGGCAATACTTAACAATATGGGAATACGTAGACCCCCTTAAATATTTAAATATAACTTCTCAATATAACGATCAACCACTTCTCTTGGATATATCGATAACTACTTCGGACTAAATCCTTCAGGAATGTAAATTTTACCGGTTTTCACACAAAAGTTTGGGACAATTTGACCCGGTAAATAATTACCGATTATCATAAAAAAATGTTAGTTTCTTAATCCGATTACTTTTTCGTGATGTTCGGGTCATAATTGTGGCCTTCATAGCGACCAGAAAAGCAGACAAAAATAAAGTTTTGGCCAATTTCAACCCGAAATATGAACCGATCATTAGGAGTCTTCGTTGGCCGAAAACTGATGTATTTGCTAAATTTCGTGATGATTGACCCATAAATGTATAATGTGCATACTAAAGGATGGGGCCTAAGATCAATACTTCGCGGCGTTATAGCTTTGTGTGGCCCAAAGATATAATGCCCTCACAACATAGTTGTGTAAGCCGCCTTCATAACCCGTTTTTTTTTCTGTTCGTCTGTTGTTGTTCTTTTTGGATTATGGAATCCGTTTTTGAAAACTTTTCCATTTAAATGATACAATCGATGACGACGTCATGATTATCCACACGCGAAACGGATTTGACAGGTTACATTAATGTTTAGCCACTTTTATTCGAACACAGTTCAACACAATGGGAATGAGTTTTGTTACGTTTTGTTTTGTTATTTTGGGTTGTAATCTTTATGGGATTTACGTCATTGAATTTTCAGCTGTTAAGCATTGTTCTTCTGGTCCGGCCCTCGACTCATTCTTCAGGCGTCCATTCATTCCTTCATTCATTTCGATTCGATAGCATTTTTTACAGTTTGTTTTAACGAGTGTGTGTGTTGGTGTTATTGGTTATTTTTGTGGCTTAGTTTCCTTATATAACGGTGCTTTATAATTTATGGGAAAAGTTATATGTATTTATATTGAAGAAGGATAACATCCAATTTGGTAGACACATTTTATATGTGGCGATGGCGGGTAATAAAATCGTTTTGGCAGATTAATACAAACAAAAAAAATGTTAATTCCATTCAGTTGGGTTAAATTGACATATCTTGGTGAATTTTTTAAGCCAAATGATGTATTGTAGATAATCAAAAAGAAAGTGTGTTTCTTATGAGGAAATGTTACCTCACGTTGGGCGCCATTTTATAAAGTGGGTTAAATTTAACAAAGTGATTAGAAATTGTTGAAAATAATTCCCTTTAAACCGGTTTTAATAATTGAATTTTCGTACATATACATATACCGATAATTGCTTTTAAGAAAGTTTTGTAACCTCCAGAGTACAGAGAGTTTTCTAAAATCTTATTATCTACGAAATTTGGGGTACCGCAATGTGACGACGAACGAAATTTCATAATGCTTTCAATAA